ATCTGCTAGTTGCATGTCCTTATTAGAAGCAGCAACATCTCTTCAGTGCTCAAGTTCCTCTGGGGCCCTTAGCCACCAAAACCACAAAAAGATGCAGATAACCAGAAGGGAGAAAAGGTGTTTCTGAACACCGGTGCAAGTTTCCTTTCACTGCAGATCACTCTGACCCACATGCTGCTGGGGATGTTGGTTTTCTGTAATTATCTTCTTTAGACATCTCTCCTCCCAACATTTAGTTCCTTAAGTGGATCCTTTCCCGCAGGCTATGGGATTTCTACTTTAAACATCATCCCTGAGCTGCTTCCTTACCCATCTTGACCACTATCTACCTAGCACTAGTAAAAGTTTCTGCAGAAGTCTTTGCCCTAAATGTGGGTGCTAGCTATTTTATGCACTGGTTCCTGGGTGGGAAAAAGGAACTGGGGTGTGTTTAGTCCAGTCTGCCTCCCTTCAAACATAAAGCTTTCATTTATTCCCCAATTGGAGAGCTGCTAGTGTTAACAAGTTGTTCTTTCAAAGGATGACCAGACTGGTATTTCACTAAACACTTAAAAGGTGAAATGCTGTGTAGGGAGGACCCAGAGGTGGGGGTGGAGGCAAGTCTAGGGTAAGTGAAACTGGGGAGGGGAGAGGAAGTATGGGGGCAGTGGGTGGGAGGTGTGAGAGGCACAAGGGCTGTGAGGACAATCAAAGAAGGTTCTGAACCTGATTTCTAGCACAAACCTGCGCACACCCTCAGTTAAATAACCCTGCGTATTGTGAGACTTGCTGCTTTCCTGCTTCAAGTGCCAAAGGGAACTTTATCCCTTCAAATACACTATAAATTCCTTAGCAAGGAACCCGTCCTAGGTCTTACCCCTGCCCCACCCTCAATGCCCTGGCTCTCAGGCCCGACAGTTTCTGTACACACTGTTCTCTTAGAAAGCACATTCAGTCCACAGGTAAATCATGAAGACTTATGCCAGAAGTCAGGACTCTCCAACGTCCCCTGGTCAATCTGGGAAGATGAAGAGAGTGCACCTGCTGAAGGTGTTAAGCGCCTCAGTTATCTCACTGCCTGCCCAACCTTCCTAGGGATTTCTATAGGACAGAAGTGGGTTCTACTCACTTTTATATGTGTCAATACATAGCTCATAGTAGGTCCTCAGATTAAACCTGTATAATGAAGCTTCCATGGAGGACCAGTTTGTTAAGACAGTAAACCTGCAGCTCCCAGTCTAGGCTGTGCAGCTGAGGGGACAGTCTCTTGTTTCCTGGTGTTGGTACCTGCCTCAGCTTTCAACTCTTGCCACTTCCTTATGGTCAGTATAGTTCAATACTGTGTTCTAAAGATTTCCCTATTCGTGGGCTTCTTCAGGGTGATGGTTCTCCGGAGGGCCAAAGATTACATGGATTGCACATACTGCAGGAAGAGCAGGAAACATTTTCAGGTTTTTTTTTTTTTTTTTTTTCTCAGAAGGGCTCTTTCCAGGCAGACATGGTCCCTAAGAACTGAGATGAGAAATGTAAACTCTGTGGCTAATACAAATGATAGCACCATTAATTCACTTTGAAAAATACCATCTGTTCATGCTCTCCCTTTGCCACAATTTCTAAGTATTTCCACAGCATTCTAACAGCTGATGTTCTTTCTCATTATCTTTGCAGACTGATTTAGAAAGTGTGGTCCCTGGACCAGGGACATCAGCATCACCGGGAACTTGCTAGAAAAGAAAATGGTCAGAACCCCACACAGGACTCACTGTATCAGAACCCGTGGGGGGGGGGGCAGGAATCTGCATTGTCACAGTACCCAAGGTCATGTGTATGTGCACTACATCTGCCAACCAGGGGTTCTGACTGGATGAGACCACAGTATAGTCTCCTCAGTGCCCCATTATTTAAATTGCAGACACACGACTGAGGGAACATAGACTGTAAAGGACACCAACAACTGCTTCTGGGTGACACTGTCCAAGATAACTTTCTGCTGGGCTGGAAACATCCTACTTCTATGCTGTGTGAATGGAAGCTACTAGCCTCATATGGCTCTGGGTGTTCGCAAAATGGCTGGTAGGAACTGAATGCTAACTTGGTTTAAACTTAAATAGCCAGCTGTGGCTACACCTACTATTCTGTGTGGTGCAGCTCTAAAAGCTGTTATTCAGCTATGTTCAACTCAGCTTCTAAAATCCTGCAAAAAAAAAAAAAAAATGTTACAATGTGTTCTCTCCAGCTGTATCATCTAAAAATGGAAGAGAACTGTTCACTGCTCCTTGAGTTCAGTGAGATATTTACTGCTTCCCTTGTTTGTGCTATCAAATTAATGTTTTGAAACTTCTTAGCAGCAGTTTAATACATTATATAAAGTAGTGTTATTCCCTTTGCACAAACATCACAAGGCTTTAGGCACAGATCTGATCTAATTTGACTAGTGACAATGATAATTTGGGGGCAGTGAACCATATTGGTACCAAGGGTTCTGCAATGCACCTTAAAGATTTATAGAAAAAGGATACAAAAGAAGTCAATGTCAAATACTGCCATGGGAGCTTCTCTTAGTGGTTACATCAATCTTCTAGAATACCGTTTTATGCCAGGTTCTGTTCAGGTAGATAACGGTCTTACTTTCTGAAATAGCTAAATATATAGCTACTTATTTCCAACCTGCAATCTACTCGGGGTATGACCTAGCCCTTAGCTGCACATAACCAATGTGCACAAAGAATTAAATTTGGATGACACAAAGACTATATGCAACATTAAAAAAATTCATTTTAACTATGACTATTCGTAGTTTACCCATACATACACTGTCCTTCCATAAAAGGGGGCTCCTGCCGGCTTGTATAGTCGTAAATGAGGACTTCCGCAAAACTGCATCTCGGAACTTCAGGCACAAAATATCAGCTTCTATACACCATGGCTCAAACTCTTCATGAGGAGGTTGCTGAGGTGTTAACAAGGGCTCCTAGCCCTCGGGGTAGAACTCTGCTCTAGGGCCCTGAACACCAGCGGTGGTCGAGTCCTACTTGGACCTGGACTGGACTGTCTTCACCTGTGTCCAGTAGTTCCTCTCTCTGCATCTGTGGTCCTTGGAGGCTGACTGTGACCCTGTCCCACCTGGGATTCCCCACACAGAAGGGTAGTTTTTGCTGCCTTCTTTCTTTATGTCAGAACTGAAGAAAATGAATAGCACTCTGGCATTTCTGGCAGGTTGCAGAGTATTTTCTAGGGGGAGCCCAAGCGCTGAAGTGCAGCTCCAAACCGAGGAAAGGAGGACACCAGAGGATGCAGAGCCTAGGAAGTCCCTCACTTCCGGGGCCACTGCCTTGAATGTCAGGGGGTTTTGCAGGGTGGGGTAGTCAGGTGAGGGGGTGAGGTCAGGGCTGGAGCTCCAGTGGAATTGAGGAACATGGGCCAAGTAAGAGAACTGGTACCCTGTGGGTAAGCTCTCTGAATGTAAGTAGCAAGCCATGTTAGTACTCAGATAACATCTAGGCATAGGATGCCAATCTACTCATTCCCATCCCCTTCACCCCAAACTATAGGCACTTCACTGTCTTCAGAACAATACCTAGGGAACAATGATAAAGTATAATTCAAAGTTGTAAATCAATTAAAATTTTCTATGTTAACTCACTATATGAAGGATTACTGGACATAACAGGATTATCCATCTAGAACTAAATCCTTCCCATGGCATAGCACTTTATACGTAACAACTGCTATGGGTGGAATGTGTCCCCCTAAAAGTATGCATTGGAAACTTAGTCCCTAGTGGAACAGGGAGGCGAGGTGGGGCCTGATGGGAGGTGTTCAGATGTGGAGGAGTCCGCTGCATGAACACATTAATAAGGATTACAGAAGGGTTTGAGGGCTTACAAATTTAATTGTTTGCTTTTACTTTCCTTTTCTGGTTTAAGACAGGGTCTTGCTAAGCAGTTTAGGTAGTTCTTGATTCACAGCAATCCTCCTGTCTTAGCCTCCTATGTACTGGGATTATAGGTGTACACTCCCTGGTATAAATTTAATCTTGTATAGGTGCTTGTTCGTTCTCTCTCTCTCTCTCTCTCTCTCTCTCTCTCTCTCTCTTTCTCTCTCCCTATGCCCTCTTCCCCCTTCCTCCCTCCCTCTTTACCTCTCTCCCCTCTGCTCCCTCCCTTCTGCCATGGAATGATAGCATGGAAGTTGTTGCCAGATGGTGGGTCTTTCATCTTGGATTTTAAGGCTTCCAGAACTATAAGAAATAAATCTCTCTTCTGTACAAATTATTTAATCTATAGTCCTCTGGGACTATATAACACAGTACAACAACACAGGACAGACTGAGACAATAACCTATTTAATCTTCACAGCGGCTCCATACAGCCCCATATAGTTGATAAGAGGTCAAGGTGAGTTCCAAAAGTCACTCAGCTAAGAGGTAGATGGGGTTCTAGCCTCAGGTGGCCTCACTGGCTACTGAGCCTGCTCATAAGCACTTTGCTACTCTTACCTCCCACATGGATGAGACTCCAGCTTAAGGTTTACTATAGAGAAAAGAGTATAATAGTTGTAGAATATTGCATTTGTAGATTCATTAAAATCCACCATTTACAGGATATTAAAACAGTTTGAAGAGACGATCATGGTAAAGGTGTAATTGCCATCTGTAAGCCTGCCAAATCAGAGTGTACGAGCTTTTATGAAAAGTTCAAGAAATGTGGCTTACAGGGTAACGATTTATGGTCAAGTGCCTTTCATCTCTCATGTGAAAAATATGTACTTACATATATTGCAGGAAACCTCACCACTTCCTTCCTAAGTGTTGGTCAAAAACACTAATTACTTGACTAATTAGACTGCAAAACTTCCCTTACAGATGGTAAAAATGAGCTATTTTCACCCCACAAACTGAGTTGTGACATACCACCAAAAAAATGTAGAAATGTTTCAATGGCTTTATTGTAGACAGCATGAACAATTTAAGCAAATCATATGAAAATAAATTAGAAACTAATGAAAAGAATCTGCTCTTTCATAAGGGAGAGAAGCAACCTTGTTCTACAGGAAGGAAGGAGGGAGGTTGCCGAGGAGGCTGGACCCCTCTGTCGGGGACAGAGGTGCATTTCTATCCCGTCCCATAGGCTGGGGTATCCAAAGTGAGTCAAGCAGTCCTAAAATGATTTGTGATTCTTGTGGTCACAGGCTGGGACACCACTATTTTCTGCTTTCTCCTGGATCTCCCTATGGGAAACTACACAGCACGCCCAGCAAGTCAGAATGACACAGGATCCCTTTAGCTCTTTATTCACAGTACTTCATGCTGCCACACTAACACAACTGCCCAAAAAGTCAGTGCTGAAGAACAGGGAACCTGACGAGTGGAATAACAGGAGCAAGGGACTTCTGCCTGATGGGTGCTCACGTTTGCTCAGAGGCTACAGCTCTCATTTCTGGCATCAACACACAGATCTGCTGAGGCATAGCATGGGAGGACACTCACCTGCATCAAGGCTGCCAGTGGCTGCTGTCCAGCCCATGACAGGGGGGATGGCTCCAACCACGGCCCCGACCCACGTGTTGGCAATGCTCATCCTTTTCAGTGGTGTGTAACAGCAAGTGTACAGGAAAATGTTGAAGATTCCCAGGGCTCCTGTCAGTGGATTCACTCCCCAAGTCAGAAGAACAATTCCTGGAACTGCACAGCAGGCAGCAAACGATACAGCCAGCAGCGGACTGCAAGACAGCAGAGAACAGCAAATGATCATTTCCACTTAACTCCATCACACTTTGTCTTTTCCCTATAGAGCTGAAGCAAGATTGGAAACAAGGCCTAGTGTTCCTTTGCATAGTTAGTGCTAAACAAGGGACAGCTGTGAACAACCCACTTAGAACAATACTACAAGATTTAGATAAAACACTATCAGCTCTGGACACTGTCGGCCCCATTACCTACATTTTAGTCCTTTATTAAAATATGTTTGTAGTACATAACAACTACATTCTTTGTGGGGAGTGTACATAAGGCCTTTTTTTCAACCTTAACTTTTTCCTTCCCTTCCTTCACACTTTCCTCACCAGAGCTGGCATTAGAGGTGTGCACCACCATGCTGGGTTTCGGGGCTGGCATGGTGTGCCTGGGATCCTGGTGATCAAACCCAGGACCTTGTGCTTGCTAGGCAGCCGCTTATGCCACCAAGCTGTCTCCCCAGCCTGATCCTATTGCCTTTTGCAAAAGATTTACTTCCTGTTTTTTTATTATCTAACTTTTATTTTCAGCTTTGTTTATAACACTGAGTTCCTCATATGAGAGAAACTTTGTAGTACTTAAGCTTATAGTCTCAAGGTGTACTTACTTCCCTACAAAAGATATAAGTTTAGCCTTTATGGTACAGTAATACTCCACTGTGTATAAACACCATAGTTTCTTTATCCATATATCTACTGATGGAAAAATAGGCTGCTTCCAAGATTAGTTATTATAAATTATGCTGCTATGCACCCTGGTATGCATGTATTACTACAATATATCTTTAACTCTTTGGGGAATAACTGGGTAAATAGGATTTCTAGGTTTTAGTCTTTTTAGAAATCCGCATACTGATTTGTATAGTGATTATACTAGTGTATATTCCCACCAATTCTACTGTGTATAAATCCCACATTTTCTTTCTCCAGTCATCTGTTGGTAGGCATATAAGCATCATCCAATCAACAGGGAGTCACAAAGTTTGCCTTGGTGAGTGCCATCGTGGCAGTATCTGTCATGAATTTCAGGTTTGAATGGTGCCAGCTGCACCCTAAGCGTGAATACCAGGTGGCCACGGTGCGGCAAGGGAGCCACAGCTGGGCTTACAGAAGGGATTTTTAAGAGGCGTCTGCGCAATGTTACAAAAAAAATCAAAAAGTAAAAGAAAATCAACAAGTAAAGCTCTATAATGACAACAATGATTATAAACCTGTATCTTAACAAAGTGCACTTCTAAAAATAGATTATATGCAATCTTATTTAAGATTTGAGTCCAGATAAATTGGATTTCCTATAATTTTGCTTATATGTATGTTTATTTTTTCATAAGAAACCAAGCTTGCTTTCTTCCTACTTTTACCTCTGAATAAAGTATTTTTGTGTGGGGTTCAGTGACCCACTCCATTCACATTCTACAATAGCTCCACGGGAAACAGGTCCCCAAGTGTGCTTCCAGGGTGTTCCAGTTTCAGCAATGGACAGCTCTCCCTGGGAACCGATCTCTGCCCCACATGCACACATAATACCCTTGTTTTCACAGGACTAAAGCTATTCCTCAAGGAAAAGACTAATTTGTAGAATGAAGAGTAGCTAGAACTCATCTAGGGAAAGGGCTGGGGACAAGCACAGCCCAGTAACAAAAACACCAAGTGAAGCCAAAGCAGTAGAATGCAAAAGCAGGAAGAGACATCATGGAGAATTCCAGCTCCCTGCTCCTCTCATACTGGTCAACACTTACTCTCCTAGGCCTGTGGCCACCCTACCTGGAAGTCAGAACCCAACACATGGGAGTCTTGATGGAAGTTATGTGCTATCAAGGTGCTTGTGAGAGAGACCATGAACTCCAATGAGAGACTTCGGAGCACGTGTTTTTAACCTTACAGTGAACTTCCACTCACCTGGCCTCGGTCCACCTCTTCTCAATTCTTTCTACATGACTTACTCTGACATCCTCAGTCTTTTATTCTGCCAGTCTTTTTTTTCATACCCACCCAGATGATTCCTTCGTAGAGTCTTCCCAATAGCTTCCTATCTCTACCCTATAATCACACTAATTACTTCATTTCATGAGGATGGCTTACCAGGCCTGGCACTTGGCTGGAGTTGATTGCTGTCATGGTTCCTCAGAGGTACTCTCAACTTGTCTCCTGCTTCCCAAGGTTCTAGCTTTCACTCCTCATGCTAGACATCCTTTCCTCTTACACAAGAGTAACAATAGTGACAAATGCCCTCAGATTTATACTTATTCCATACTTTTCTCCCATTTAAGAAGAGGCTATCTTCTCAGTTTTTTAAAGATACTTTTCATTTCTGCTTTTAATTAATCTGCTCCCTAATCTGTTCATCTTTTATCGCTATTGTCTACAGACGACCTCTTGTATCAAGTAAGTATTTGTATTATCTCAAGGTAAGATCTCTCTAGCCTCAATATTCTTCAAGCTAAACAGTCAGATGGAGTGCGAGTCACACAATATTTTTCCTGTTTCTTCCATCCTGCAATTTTCTGTTTGCTCTTGAGCTCTATTCCCGATATAGATTTCTCTGTGGTAGTGCTAGGCACCACGTGAAGTGGTAATGCCTGTTTTCCCAAAACACAATGTAATTTTCTAGATGAAAGCCAAGGAAGACACCTCTTATCTCAGATGGGTCCAGAATGCAGAATTTAGATAGATGGCTAAAAAGCTGTGCAAATATTATACCTGTTGCTCTTTCAATAAGGTTGTTTAAAGCTATTAAGAACTGATTTTTCCCCCTATGGAACTCTAAAAAGCTAGCATTATTTTGGTGGGAGAAAAATGTGCCTCATAAACATTTTATTTTTCCTGAATTGGCCCTTGTATAAAAAAATAAAAAAGAAAAAGAAAGCTGTTCCCTTCCTCTGCAGGGTCTGTGGAAGCCAGTTGGATTCAAAGGTATTAGTGTTATAAAAAGCCCTTTTTAGAAAAGCACACATGAATTTAATTTATTGAGATAGGCAATTTTATGTGGAAGTTTAGTTTCTGACCAGTGTAGAAATCACACAAAATCATAGGGCTCAATCTCTGTTTAAACCAATCTGCTGAAAGCATGAATGAAAAGGGAACAGGCTGACAAGCTACATAAACAAAAGGGAGGGCATTTCCCCAGGATGCCATGGTCATTCTCAACACCCAGGAGAGAGGGCCCTAAAGTGCCAGACTTGAGAGCAGTCTCATGTTGAGGGCAAGGGCATTCCAACTGCAAACTGTGTGAAGTTTATTTTCCTGTGGTGTTTCACATTTCATAAAAACTTTATAGAAGTAGCACACGTTGAACTCACAATTTGTGATTGCAAATATCAAAAAGAAATTCTACATTAGCTTTTTAGAGAAACATACTGATTCACATCTTTGTAGCCTTCTTACAATGCTACATCTACTTAAAAAATGATTGAGAACATATTGAACAATGTTTTTATTACTTGGTTTATTTCAGGGTATCTTGGTATTTTCCTGTCATTTTTTTTTTACCATTATGAACATTATCAGTAGCTACACAGTAGCCTATCTGTGGTCATACCATAATTAATTACATCACTATGCCTTTTTTGGTATTTTTCCTTTTTTACAGAGTTAGAAATAATGTTGGGATGAAATTCCTATGGACCAAACTTTGCTCATATTTCCAATCAGGCCAAATTTCTAAATAGGAAACTGTTAAGCTGCATGACATGTCCAGTTTTTAGGACTTTTAACTTGGGCTCTCAGTCTGTACTGTACTCCATCCTGCTTTCCATTCCAACCAGAATAAGAGAGGGCTTGCCTTCATATCCTACATTAACACTGGCTATGGCATTAGAAATAAAGTGCAATAAAACCAAAATTTGCCAACAGTAAAGCCAGCCTTTTTTTTTTTTTTTTTTTGCGGAATCGGGGATTGAACTCAGGCCCTTGTGCTTGCCAGGGAAGTGCTTATTCCACTGAGCCATCTCCCCAGCCCAAAACCAGCTTACTGAGATAGCATCATCCTTACTTAATGGACGAATAGCTGAGATTCAGTAAGTGTAAAATGACTTAGAAATAAGATCTGGTTTGTTAATTTGACCCATTTTTCCAGCTGGCATGAAGGCACATGCTGGCATAATACATGTAGTTCTTCTTGTTTCCTGAGTCTGCTGAGGGCCTGACATAGTTGAGTCTTTAGACAAGTCACTATCAGGCTCAAGCAGCCTCCCATGTTTAATCTTCCTCAGTTTATCCTGTTTAAAAAAAAAAAAAAAAAAGCCCAAAGCCTCTACTGTGTTTGTCGAAATGAAAATGACTACGACACATTCAACTGAGGGAAAAAAAGAGATCGATGTAGGATATACCATGGTTTGACAGTTAAGCTATACTGTCAAGTAGCTCCCCTGAGAGCAGCCCAGATGATTAGTAAACAAAACTTCTGAGTGTGTCTGGTGGGTCATGGGGCATGACCTTGGGTGCTACATGTGGTCATTGGCTCCTTCCACTCTGGTGCTGTTCCCCTGCTCTGCTTCCCAGCCCCTATGAGCTGTGCAGCTTTTCTCTGTAATGCCTGTCAGCCATGAGGTTTCTGCCCTGGAGCCAGCTTATCATGGACTGAACTGTCTAAAACCAGGAGCCCAATTCAACCACTCCACCTTTTAAGTTGCAGGTATTTGGTAATTTGTGACAGTGAAAGGACAGCTGGCTAATATTCATGGTGAGCAAGACAAATGTCATTTCCGTCCATCGTACTTATACTGCAGTGACAGTTACATAGACAATAGCAATTTTGCGTCCTTCAACAGAACAAACAGGGTAAAGTGGGAGTACCCAACCTATGTGTGTGCTTGAGAGACAGATATTTCTAGAAGGAAATGGTGCTTAAACACACCTCACAGGAAGAGGAAGAAGAGGTTGAAAGCAATGTTGCAGGCTGTGGGATCAGCCTGTAAGCCAGCTAAAGGTGAGAGGCATGATAGATTTAAGTGACTGAAGGAAGCGCCACCCAAGGTGTGTTGGGGGAT